ATTTACCGGAATCACTCTGACTGATTCTGTATGGGTTTGCTTCCATGGTTATGGGATCTTATATTATTGTTTGTTTAGTCGCTTAATGTAGCTCCATCAATTGTGCAGGGTTCTAGTATTGACTATCGGATGGATAATTTTCCTTTCGTCCTTCATTCCAGTGCACTTCTTGCTGAAAGGCCATGATAAATTGAGAAAAAATTTAGAGGTGTAGATTCTTATCTATTACTTTCCTTTAACTGTTTTCTTCCCAAAATATGTGATTCCGTTTTTGTTAATCAGCATTGCATTTTTCCCATCTTCTGACAGTGAGGTTGGGTCTTTTTACCTGCTATATGTAGGCATCAGGTCAATTGATGTTGTATTGCATAATCTTCACAGATTGCTCTAGTCATATAGGTCTCATAGAATCTGTTCAAGCACTCTGAAAAGTAGTAGAAATGTGTTTTTGCAAATAAATTTCTTCTTCTTTCTCATTGGTTAGAACAATGACTTATGGCAAGGCACATGAAAAATTATCTAGAGTGACCAAACAGGGCACAAATGACTGGAAAATTTATGAGTAATCCATCCTTACATGAAAAATGAAGCAATGGTCTATATGACTAGTGACTCAATCATCTGCAATGACCCTCCGGTACTTATTACGCTATGATGTTTGTTTTCTTTTCAGAGGTGTTTGGTGGAGTTGATTTGTAGCTTCTTTGTTGCCTCTTGGACTGGGGTTGTAAAGTACCATGGGCCACGGCCTAGCATGAGGCCTAAGCAGGTACTGTTTAACTATAAATTTCCTTTTTTAGATGTCATATGGTATTTCTGTATCATTTTATACGATCAATATTCATTTTTTGAATGCCTTACTTGAGCTTTTCTTTCATGGTTTGAGCAGGTTTTTGTGGCCAATCACACTTCCATGATTGATTTCATCATCTTAGAGCAAATGACCGCATTTGCTGTAATTATGCAAAAGCATCCTGGATGGGTTGGTCAGTGTCAATGTTGCTATACATTTCCTTAATTAATTATTAAAATTATATAATTTTTAAAAACTATCAGAATTGGAGTATTATAACATTATCATAAATTATTGCTTATGTATGTATTGGAAGTGTGACTGCCATAAGTTCAAAACATTCCAAGGACACTTGAGTTATGCATATCCATGAAATTCAACAATTAACACGCGTGATTCATTTTTGAAAATGCTAGGTTAGATTTGTCCAGTTTATGTAGTGTTTCTACAGTAATGATCCATCTTAGATGTGTAGGTTGTTCCGGCCATTGATGGAATTGAAGTTTTCTGGCTTTGAATGCAAATTTGTTGTTTTCCTAGGTTACAATATGAATGTGATAGTGTTACCGTTTCTTAGTCAAAGAAATGTCCCTTCTGGAGTAGTTTTCTTCTTATGCATTGATCATTGACGTCGTTCAAGTAAAATTGGCTAATTTTGAACTTTGAAAGAGGAGGTTTGGAGCTTTTTGGTTGTCAGCACTTTTCCATTGTTTCTTACCAGAAAGAGTGGATTCTGAACAATCTAGAATGACAAAAACTATGTTTTGTTTTTCACTTTTATGTATACATAAGAAATGGAATCAAATTGAGGATTCTCTTCTTTTATGCTTCTTGTGAAGGATTGTTGCAAAGCACTATTTTGGAGAGTGTAGGATGTATTTGGTTCAATCGTTCAGAGGCAAAGGATCGGGAAATTGTTGCAAAGAAGTAAGAACCAATAGAAAGTGCACAGTAGCTTTTTTATTCTTTTTTTAACCACACCATTGTCCATGTCATTGTTATACGAACTTGTACAGTTGTTCCTTTTTTCAGATTGAGGGATCATGTGCTGGGGGTTGACAATAACCCTCTCCTTATATTTCCTGAAGGAACATGTGTAAACAATCACTACACTGTTATGTTTAAGAAGGTAAACTGTATTCTAGTTTTAGTTTTGCTCAGTTTTAAATATATATATATTTATAAATAATATTCATCTTCACTTTAGGGCATATATGTACTGAACATGTTTTTATTAAGTTCTTGGTATTTTTAATGTTCTCTAACTTTCATTTTCTATATGATGTAGGGTGCATTTGAGCTTGGCTGCTCAGTTTGCCCTGTCGCAATCAAGTACAACAAAATTTTCGTTGATGCTTTTTGGAACAGCAAAAAGTAAGGAGTGGATTATGACACACTAATTTAACATCCACTGTGACTTGTATTTGCTTAGAAAATAATTTCCTTTTTTGAATCACCACTTGTGTTTTTCACATCACCAAGAAAGTTCTTGTTGACTTTCACCTTCCACTCAGAAAAGAGTAAATATTCTATTCAAAGGCTTAAAATGTTTCTGTGATGCTTAAACATAGTCATGATACTTAGATTCCATCCCATGGAACTTATCCATTGGTTGTGCTTAGGATCCATGATTTTGGAGACATTTACCAACGTTTTGGGGCCTTTGGGCTATTGTGATATGCAGTTGGTGATGCCAATAATATGTTGTTTTGCAGGCAGTCCTTCACAATGCATCTGCTACAGCTTATGACGTCGTGGGCTGTTGTTTGTGATGTGTGGTATTTGGAGCCTCAAAATATTAGGCCTGGGGAGTCCCCCATTGAATTTGCAGAGAGGTAAAAAAACATTCTTCTCTGGACTTGTAATCAATAACAACATGCTCCCTCCTGCACGGTTGGTATGGTCTTGTTTATCTCATTCGTTTGGATCCTTTTATGCAGGGTCAGAGATATAATTTCTACGCGTGCAGGACTTAAGAAGGTCCCATGGGATGGTTACCTGAAATACTCTCGCCCAAGCCCAAAGCACAGAGAGCGAAAGTAAATCAAATTTACTTTTCTTCTTGCCCTTTTTTTCTTCTGAATAAAAAAAAAAGGAAAAAAAGAAAAAAAGAAGCTAAAAACAGCTATTCATCTTCTGTACCCTTTCCATGTATTTGTGTACATAAGGCATAAAAGCTTATACAATGCAGTCACAATCGCAGGGCTTATTGGTTATTTTCTTTTTGCAGGCAACAAAGCTTTGCTGAGTCCATGCTCCGGCGCCTAGAGGAAAAGTGAAATGTGTTTCTTCCGACTCTTTTAGTTAACTTTTTCTTAGCACAGAGTGCATGTTCTACACTCAATTTCCTCTTCATTCGAGTAACTGGTTGAAGCCTGAGAGGAAGCTGCGTTTGATATAAGAAGTAAATGAATAACTTACTATCTTCCTACCCAGTTGTTTTGTTGAATACACATGATGTACGAAGCTTGGTTCCTGTGGGGTTTACTCAAAATTTTGTAGGAACTTGAAATAGCTGTGTTATCTTTTGGAAAATTCTTGGTCTAGTTTTGTGTTAAGATTAATTTGAATGCACTAGTCAACATGAATGTACCACTTTACAACTGTTTGCAAAATCAAGACTCGACTTTGGAGGTCCATCAAGGGCTTGATCTGGGTTTGATTTAGGGCCTAAAATGAAACTAAACCATGAACCAAGATCCATATGGTCAGGATCAAACCCCTTTAAAATGAAACCAAATGACTTGTGACCTATTTGGGAATGCTATGAAGAAAGCACATGAAAGTGATTCATGAAAAAACACATACTAGGACGAGATGCTGCTTCAAAAATGTACTAAAATAATGCGTTTATCATCTAGAAGCAATTTAGGTTTTTCTACTTAACGCTGTCAGAAACACTTTTGGGGACGAGATGCTGCTTCAAAAATGTACTAAAATAATGCGTTTATCATCTAGAAGCAATTTAGGTTTTTCTACTTAACGCTGTTAGAAACATTTTTGGTTTTCTAAATGCGCTTTAATCATTCTAAAAGTAATCACAAATAGGCTATATTGGTGGTAAACATACTCAGATTTAATTTAAGAATTAAAAAAAAAACAGAAGCAAATAAAATAGGTGACCCAAAGAGGACGGAATTCTTATAAAACAACACACAGAGGAATCTGTTTCACAAAACGAGAGCCTTGACTTTGCTGAGGAAGACCCCAACCCATTCCACTTGGCAAACACGAATCATCCAATTAACATATGAACTCAACTTGCATCTGGGTCAGCACACACCAAAGAAAGAAAACCAATTCAAAAAGGGGGAAATTGATAGAGCTCTCACAATCTTTGTTGTACTTTGAGTGTTTACTTAATAATGAAAACCCTAGGAGCCAACCAAAAACAAGTCAAATGTAAGAATTTTCCTTCTTGTTGATTTGCCCGCCACAAGCAATCGGCCGTTTCAGATTTGATGTAGATTGACTTCACTTCGTCCTTTCATACAATCATAAACCCCTTTGAAAACCAGATCCTTTACATGTCTCTCTGTCCGTCTGTTTTTTTTTTTTGAGGGGCTGACCATCTCCATCATTTGCTCGTTTGGTCGTGCTTGGAAATGTCTCTTTGGCTTGCATTTTCCTCCCTATGATATTTGCCACAAGTTCTTGCGATATGTAGGTCAACGCAATATTTTATGCATACACACACATAATTACACAGACAATTTTTGTACGACTATTCATGTATAACAAATACGTAATTGTATAGAAATTATTGCGTACATGCCGGGTAATGGGCATTGTTAATATTCATAATCATAGCGTGACGGGTTGGTCCTAAACCCTAATATTCAGTACCCTAATGTAAACACAACAACACAATGTTGCACCAGAAAAACACCCCAACACATGTAGCTCTCATCTTATTTTAACTCTTCTTAAAACTCTAAACCACCTACTCAAAAAATTTCTTTGGGTTTATGAACACAAGTACCGTAAAATCGATGAGTATTTTGGTTATCAACCGCTCAAATACGTGAGTTTTATAAAATTTGAAAGACGGGTCTTTTTATATTATTGGAGAAGATTCTGAGTTCAAATTTCATTAACAGTTAGTTAGATTAATCAAAACAAAACACAAGCTAGCAAAAAAAATGTCCCATTTCCTGTACATGACCCCACTGCATATAGTATTACGCAACCCCATAATAAAAACTCCAAAGTCCCAAGTCTTTCACGGCCCCCACTCAGTCAACAAGGTCTCTTCCAGTTCAGTCCACACACACCAGCTCAAAAAAAACCTATTGCTTACTTTTCCTCCTCCTCTTCATCGTCGTCTTCTTCTTCTTCTCCTCCATTTAAATCCCCCCCTCCCCACTAAACCCCTCACCCAACAAAAGCCACAAACCAAAACCAATGGCTTTCTCTTTCTCTTTCTCTCCCTCCACACCCACCATACCCGCACTCCTATTCACCCTCTCCCTCCTCCTCTCATTTCTCACCACACCCGCCTCCTCCGCCACCTTCAACTGCTCCGCCGCCACCACCTGCCAGTCCCTCATCGACTACGTCCCCGCAAACACCACAACCCTCAACGACATCAAAACCCTCTTCAACATCTCTCACCTCCGCACCCTTCTCGGAGCCAACAACAACCTCCCCCTCTCCACCGCCCCGACCCAAAACGTAACCGCCTCCCAAAAGATCCTCATCCCTTTCAAGTGCCTCTGCTCCAACGGCACCGGCGTCTCCAACAAGCGCCCGCAGTACATCGTGAAGCCCGGCGACGACCTCGACCACATCGCCACGGTCGTGTTCTCGAGGCTCGTGAAGTACCAGGAAATTGCGGCGGTGAATAAAATACCCAACCCGAGTCTGATTAAAATCGGGCAGAAGCTGTGGATCCCGCTGCCGTGCAGCTGCGACGAGGTGAACGGCGAGAGGGTGGTTCATTATGGACACGTGGTGGAAGCTGGGAGCTCGGTGGAGGCAATCGCGACCAGGTACGGGACGGACCAGGAGACTCTGCTGAGGATCAATGGCATTGCGGATCCGAAGACCCTTCAGGCCAATCAAGTCCTCGATGTTCCTCTCAAAGGTTCTTTTTGACTTTTCACCATTTTAAAAAAGTAATTTGCCTTTTTAGGTTTGGATTAACTAAAAGCTTAATCCAGAAAGCTTATGTTAATGAGATTTTGAAGTAGGGGATTATATTTAAAAGAGAAAAAAAATGAAAACCCATTTGTATTAATTATAACTAAAATGGAGTTACATCACTATCATCATGATACTTAAAAATTGAAATTTTGGATAAGCTTTGAGTTTAGTTTAGTTATTTTTTTTTTATTCCTCACCAATTTAGATGGCTTTGATGGAAAAGTTGGAGGGAGGACTTTTCATCCCTTTGAATTGTTTGTTAGAGTGGAAATATAAAGAGGAGAGAAAGTCAGAGAGATTCTTGTAAGACCGTCGTCGGTTGATTAGGCGCTTCCGTGCTAGTTTAAGTCGGCTTGCAGTGATGATCTCTTGCTTTGATTGAAGCTTTCCTTGATCTGTTATTTCAAATGTTTTGCAGTATGCCAATTGTTCTAGTTGCAGAATGACTGATGTTCCCAATTTTGTTTTTGCAGCTTGTTCATCTTCGGTATTGAATAACTCATTAGATGCCCCTTTACTTGTTTCCAACAACACCTACGTCTTCACCGCCAACAACTGCGTGAAATGCCAGTGTAGTTCTGCGAGCAATTGGACGTAAGCGCGTTTCTTACTAGTTTGTTATGTTTGCTTTCATTTTTCCATTAGAGGATTCTCACAATCTATGCAAACTTTCATCTCTGCACAGCTTGCAATGTGAGCCATCTACTGTGAATTCAACTGGATGCCCTGCGATGCAATGCCAGGGTTCGAGTCAGTTATTCCTTGGCAACACCACGACTTCCGGTTGCGATCAAACAACCTGTACCTATGCTGGTTATACTAACAAGACCAATGTTCTTACAACCCTGACAACACAGTCCACTTGTGCAGGTAAGCTCACTTCACTCTGTTTCATTTTGAAGTTCTAATGTCGATACAAATTGACAAAGCCTAGATGACTAGAAATAAGCAAAACCTACACAGCAGTGACATCACCAACATATGCATTTATCTAAATTTTGAACTTGCTGACATCTTTTCTTTTGTTGGCAAACAGCTCCTCCTAACAACGCTTCAAGGATGGGTTTGCAAGGCTCCAGTTGGAGCTTCCTTTTCGCGGCAATTCACTTGGCGCTTCTTCTTCTTCATGTTCTTCAGTGAGACGCCGGTAACTTTTTACGACGACATCGTCTACTCTTTGCTTGTTCTAAGAGGTTGGGGAAACAGAACTACAGTGTAATTCTTCTGTACATCTCTTAATGGAACGAGAAAATATCAAATTTATTGACAAAGCACCATCATGCTTTTCAGAGGGTATATAGTTTTGTATGTTTTTTATATTAAAAAAAAAATGTAAACAACGAAATATAAAAAAACCATAGCTTGGCATAAATAAAACATGAAAATTTTATTCAATCAAATTTCACAGGGTAGAAATTCCCCATATTTATACACACAGGTTTAGGCCTAAACCCTAAGCAAACACATAAAAGAAGAAAATAACAAGATTAATCAATGACCTAATTAGGTATACCATATGAAAGATGCACATTCGCCCCAGGAACAAACCCAGCAGAGTAAAAATCCATTGACATGTCTCTGATCACCTCCTTGGGAGGAGCAGTAAATAAGTAAAAGGGTAATTCTGGTTGAGCAGCAACTTTCTTCAGATGATCAACCAAGCTCTGGATTTTATCCGACGGATGAAAAGTTGCCTCCAATGTGTGATTATCAGGAAACCTAACCCTAATCACAGCCTTGGTCAACCTTGACCTGCACTTTGCCTGCTCTGCCTCCCTCATCTTCTGTGTTTTCAAAAACGTGTCTTCCTTCTTGGTCTTCAGAAGCCGGTAATAATCCTCTGCGGTGAACTCATAAAACCCATCTGCACCCTCCTCAGAAGGGTTGCGCTTGGCTTCTTCGGCCACCGTGTGATGAAGGTTGCCGATGAGCCGCCGTCTTTTGAAAGAGATTGGAGAAGAAACAACAGCCATTGTTAGAGACTTGAGACTCAATCCAACAAATTCAACAAGAAAATCAAATACGGAGAGAATTGCAATGCGATGTTGTATATAGAGAGAGCTTAACGGTCGGCAGCATTTACTTTCCTTTTCCCGTTGGTAATAGGAACCAATAAAGTTTATTTATTTATTTTTATTCCTACTCTAAAAAACTTTCCTTCTTTTTTTTTATGAACATTACTCTCCGCCACGTTTTTGTTGCTGTGAGAGGCTTTTTTGAAAAAAATTTAAATTTATTTTAGAATTAAAAAAGATAATAGGTAGTTGTGTTCCATAAAAATAGGATTCATTATCTGATTTTTCTTTTAATTTTCTTTTAATATGAAAAGATGTGAATTTACCATATTATCCTCATTTAATTAATAATATCAATTCTTAATGTTTGCATTAATCAATGGCATTTTATGGTATTTTGAATGTTTTACCATTCTCTGTCTTTTGCTTTGTATATGAAGATTTGCCACAATTCCAACAAACCAAAAAAGTATATTTGCCACAATATCATTTCAATTTTGTCAATTTTAACATTAAGGAGAAATTCTTGTTTTCGTCAATTGATTGAAACGAGCATTAAGATTTGTGTAGTTTGTTTCGATTTTTATTAACATAATTTGATTCGATATCTGCTACATTTTTATATACATACCACTTAAATACTGTTACATTTTCGACATGTCGTTCAATTTTCACTCAATTACAAGAGCAAAATCTATCAACCAAAAAAAATTACAAGAGCAAAATCATTAAAATTAACACTACATAATTACTCTTGCAAAATCATTAAAATTAACACTACATAATTTGATTTGAAAGTTATGTTACACACATGTACCAAAAAATAGAAAGGAGAAGTTAGGTTACACGTGGAGTGGTAGGTAGTTACATGGTGAGGCAAGACAGTGACGTGGCACGTGCTTGAATTAAACTCCGAAGAGCAATGATTTATAAGAAAAACCTCGTCAGTCCGGACTTGGCATTATTTGCAATATGGCTAAGGTTTTGTAAACGCAACCGCAGACCACCTGGGCCTCTTTCAAGTTTAAACCACTCTCTCTCGCCGGACAGGTAGGACCGTTGGGCGCCATCTCTCAATCCTCAACCAACCTTGGTTTCCTCTTCTTCTTCTCTCTCCACAACCCTAAAATTCTCATTCTGTCACTCACTCACAGTCACTCTATACAAAGGTAACTCCTTTATCTTATCATCTTCTTTACTTTTCGGTTTTTTTGTTCTTGGTTCCTTTACAAAATTTCCCGGGAATCAAACAGATTGTTCTGCCCACTCCTTTTTCATTTTCCCAATTGCTGCCGTCGCTTTATTCTGTGTAATTGCGTGGTATGTACGCATTTATGCCAATGCTTTGCAGTTATATGCTCTGTTTTCAAATGTGCTTCAATTTCTTTTCCCGAAACAGAGTTTTGGTTTTCACGGATATGAATTATGTATAGTATTCAGTGTTTGGCTGTCTAAAGTTGGTTCTTTTTGTTGGTCGATATACAATTTTATTGTTACATGATTGAGAACTAAACTATATTGATCTCAAACCCTTCGTATTAGGAAATTTTAACTTATAATTTGGTTTTTTGGTTTAGTTTTTGAAGAAATTACAATACTTGGTGAAAATGGCTGCTACCCAATTCAGAGGTGGCGCACTTTCTGGCGGATTAACCACTAGATCCAGTGACCATAACCCAACAACTAAGAAAGCAAGGTTGTTTAATTCAATGAAGCAAAGCGAAGCTGGTAAATTTGGAGCACTAAGTGGTAGGAAGGATTTGAGCAATGCCAATGTTGGGGGGGGTTGTAGTCTGTCTGCTACACACAGAGCACTGGGCTCCCCGCTATTGACACGTCGCCGAAGACCTTGTTTCCCAGTGGTGGCTAATCAGTTGAGTTCTGAAGTTGGTGTCGGTTCCTCTGAGGTTAAGGAAAAGTTAGCTTTAGAGGAAGAGCAAGCTCTCATAAATGGAGGGAGTGATGACCTGTAAGACCTTATAACCTACATGAACTTGTTATGTGTGAATTTGTGCTTTTATTCTTTTATTGTTTTGGGACTTTTTTTTCTTTCTTAATTGATGCTCTTACTTTCATTAGTTTGACATGATTTCTTCTAATATGGGATATATTTTTCTTCCCTTCATAATTGGACATAAGATAGGCATGTTAATGGAATGGACTGTTATGTTTCTGTAAACTACTTAATACTGATCTGCCTACGCTGAACTGCCCATTTTCCTTGCAAAGAGATTCATATTTTTTCTTTCAAATTTGTTAGAAAATTTATCATTTTGTAAAAACTCTGGTTTGTTAGAGTGAATGGTAATATGAGCATGATAGCTCTGGATAAGTTTTTCTACTTTTGATGAAAGCCAGTCCCTCCCTTCCTTTGTCCTTCTTGATCTTACAAGGCCAAGCACGCTGATGTTGTTTATTTTCACTTTATCTTGATATGTGAAGCTGATATGTGAAACATTGCTAACAGATTCTTGGTCCTGTCTATTTCAGTGAGTGGCAGAAATTCTTATGATTACTCTTAATTAGTTTTAGGTGATGGGGGATACAAGATTTGATACCTATCTTAAACATTGTTTTATGCTTGTTTTGGGTAAATGATTCTTCAGTACCTGTTTATCGTTGAGTAACATTCCTATCAGGCAAACATATTCTCCAGATGTCAAACGTGAGCTGTTGATGCTTTCTTTACCTGCAATTTTGGGTCAGGCCATTGATCCCTTAGCACAGCTAATGGAGACTGCTTACATTGGTAGATTGGGTATGTTTCACTCCTTTAAATGAGTTCAACGACTAATATTTGTATAATGTATTTAACTTTGGAGCTTTTATTCAATGTTTTTGGCCTTTTGTTTTTGCATAGGTTCTCTGGAGTTGGCTTCAGCTGGTATTTCAATGAACATCTTCAATTATATATCAAAGCTATTTAATATCCCTCTACTCAGTGTTGCTACATCTTTTGTTGCTGAAGACCTTGCAAAGAGTGAAAGTGAAGCTTCTACTTCAGGTGAAGTTCAACTTTTTTTAATTCCTTGCTGATCTTTGTTGTACATAAATTTGGTTAGGGTTCATGTCTAAATTAGGGCATAGGTGACTTAAAATTTCTCCATTCGTAATCTGAATTCGGCTAATCATTGTATAGAAAATGGCTGTCTCGGAGACATTACTAATGGTAAACCCGAACGTACTGATGGAGTAACTGAGAGAAAGCAGCTATCTTCAGTGTCTACAGCTTTACTATTATCAGTGGGGATTGGGATTTTTGAGGCCGTAGCCTTGTCTTTCGGATCTGGATTGTTTCTGAATATGATGGGCATATCAATGGTAGGTTCCCTGATCTGAAATTACAGCTCATACTGATTTGTTATCTGCCTCTTCTTATCTTTCTTTACATAAACATACAAACATATGTTTTCTGTGTGTACTGTGTACATACATGTTTACATATTTATGTGAATAATTACTATACAATTTTGTAGGTCTAGTGTATGTGCAGTTACTTAACAGGTGATAGTATAACTTTCGGGTAATTTTATTTATTTAAGCAAGATTTTTCTTTTTTCTTGAATATCACAGGACTCACCTATGCGCATTCCTGCACAACGGTTTCTTTCACTAAGAGCATTTGGTGCTCCAGCAGTTGTAGCGTCTTTGGCTCTTCAAGGAGTTTTCCGTGGTTTTAAGGATACAAAGACTCCAGTACTATGTCTAGGTCAGTGTTTGGTTATATATAATTGAAATTTTCTAGTGAAAAGATCCTCTGGTGATTGAGGTATGCATATATCACATGTCATAAGACTCACAGACGTTCATTTATCTGTTTCTAAATTTTTTAATCTGTTGCTTTGAAATTCAATGGTTTTATGTTTACAATTATATACCTTAATTGATTTACTTATCATGATGTTGCTTTTCTATCAGATAAATGATAACTTGATTATATTGATTCCATTTTTTGTGGATGGGGAGAGCACTGGGGAATTGGGGTAACACAGTTTTATCGATTCCAATGCTATATATTTGCGATTCGTGTCCTGATGGAAAATCCAATTTTCTTACAACCACACATGCACACACCTCTATGTGTGTGTGTGTGTGTGTGTATTACTGGGCTGTTATTCTCGAATAATGTATTTATAACTTTGTCCCCAACTAGTTGGTTTCTGTTTGTCTTTAGTTAAGCTTGAGTGGTCCATCTGGTTAATTGATATATTTTTCTTTGTGCAGGTATTGGTAATCTGCTAGCTGCATTTTTATTACCCATCCTTATGTATTATTTTGGTTTGGGTGTAACTGGTGCAGCCCTTTCCACTGTTATATCTCAGTATGTGATTTTCAATACAGTTTCTGTTAATATTCCTTTTTTGCTTTACCTCGCAAATGAACATATTCTGGAATTTCTGTTTTCAGATACACTGTCACCTTTTTAATGATCTGGTTTTTAAATAAGAGAGCTATACTATTGCCTCCAAAGGTGGGATCATTGCAATTTGGTGGATACATAAAATCTGGTAAGTTCCTTTTCTTTTTCTTTAAACTTTTACCCTCTCATATATCTGAAAATATATGCCTTTTTTCCAGTGTTCTGCTTCAATTATTTGCTTGACTATCAACACTATCATAATAATTGACCTTTTTTGTTTTCTGATTGAGCAGTGCATGTATCTGGACAGTGTGTGTCTTAATGTTTCATTTTGTCTTTGTGATGCTAGTTAAACCTCTTTCTTTACTCCAGAGATAATTCTCTCGTCTTCGTTTTCAACTCTGGGATGATACAGGTGGTTTTCTTATTGGAAGAACTCTTGCTGTTGTTGCTACCTTGACATTGGGAACATCAATGGCTGCTCGTCAAGGTCCAGTAGCTATGGCTGCTCATCAGATATGTATACAGGTTTGGTTGGCTGTATCCCTTCTAACTGATGCAATGGCTGCATCTGGTCAGGTATGCTCTTTCTCATTTTATCATCGCAGTTCGTATCTACTCATTTCCATTTGGTGATCCAAATCAATCAATGGGTGAAGTCTAACTTTCAGTTTTACTTGACCCCGAGTGTGGAATTCTTTTCCTATTTTAACTGGACCAAATTTCACAGATTTTTGTCTGCAAATTGGGGTTTTGTGAAGAAGTGTGTGTCTTTGCATTTGGCATCAAATTTACAAAGCTAAAATGTGTTTGTTTGTAGGCCCTGATTGCTAGTTATTTATCTAAAGGTGAATACAAAATTGTGAAAGAAGTTGCTGACTTCATGTTAAAGGTACAGCTTTTTTGTATCATCTATAATTACATGGATGCTCCCAGATCTGACTGATGTTTGGTGTAGTTTTGTTATGTTGCATATGCAGTTTCTTGATTTCATATGATAAACTATGTGGATGTTTTTCCAGATAGGATTGTTCACAGGTGTTTCCTTGTCTGTAATTTTGGGATTATCTTTTGGTTCTTTAGCTACGTTGTTCACCAAAGATCCTGAAGTATTAGTACTTGTCAGATCTGGGATGTTGGTACGTATTCAAATTTATGTTTTGTGATCTATTAGTATGGCTATATTCAAATGCAAATGTCTTTAATACGGATAATGATGTTGTCTAATTTTCCACAGTTTTTCAGTGCTAGTCAGCCATTGAATGCTCTAGCTTATGTTTTCGATGGTCTCCATTACGGTGTTTCAGATTTTGCATATGCAGCTCGCTCCATGGTAAGTTACTTCCTTAAAAAGAGTCGAAATTATCCAGTCATGTCTTTATTCTTACTTTGGCTATGAAAGTTGTACATGTTGATTGTTTCTTTGATAAATTTTCTATTTATAACAGATGGTAGTGGGAGCAATATCTTGCGCATTTTTGCTATATGCTCCTTCTATTCTTGGCCTTCATGGGGTTTGGTTGGGATTAACTCTCTTCATGGGCTTGCGTGCTGTGGCAGGCTATGCCAGGTAATCTATACTATGTCAAATTTTGTAAGTTGCTGGTGTATAAGTTTTGATGAGAATTATTTCAAGGATCCTCTTGTCAGTGTTTTTTATGTGATATATGAGCATAATTGAAAAGAATATGCATTTTTTTCTTCCGATTTGTAGTTTAGTATAATATGCTACAGACTGATCTACCTGTAGTCAAAATATGAACATGGCATTTGCTTCTTTTTCTTGTAGGGAAGGCAAAATGATCGTTTGGATTTGGTTTTTTATTTATCAGCATCATCACCATCTTTGTTGCTGTTTATTCATATCTTATTTATCTTATGTTCTCCTTTCAGATTTCTGTCAAAATCAGGTCCGTGGTGGTTTGTGCACACGGGCATTCAGAAAGCCCAGGTTAGTGGACATCCATAATTTTCTAACAATGTAACTTTACTGAGCTGTTTGGATTTTTGTATAATTGTCACTTCTGTTCTTCTTTCGCATGCTGCAAAGATTTTTACTCTCTCTCCCTCGAATGACTAGTTAGAATGTGTACTGAAGTTCGAATGCAAAGATTTTGGTTGGAAATCTTATTAGAAGACAACATTTTAGAAATGGAATTTTATATGAACATGTTTCCAGCTTTTAGAATGTGCCCTAAACAAGATACAATTCTTTTTCAGCTAGCCATTTGAGTGTTTCCCATAAGCCGGAGAGAGGTTTCAGCTGTAAATCGCGGCTTTGGTTTGGATTACCATTCGTATTAGCTAAGTAAACATTTTTTATTTAGTCATAATTTTTAGTACAAAAAAGAACCTAAACATTACTTTTTATTCTTGTAAATTATTGTTAAATGTTTTTAATGTTTATAGTCAATAAAAAATATTTATTTGTCTCCATATGCTGGTCCACCATACGACTTAGATGAGAACTTCCAAAATACAACGCATGACACGCGAAGAAAGAAATTAAATTCATTGGAAAAATGTGAATGTGTTCTTATAGAACAAAACTAGAAATTGAATTAATTGGAAAACTATGAATTTATTCACGCAAAGACAAAACTAGAAATCAAATTCATTTGAAACTATGAACTTTTTCATGCATAACAAAACTAGAAATTGGATTCAATTCAAATCTACAAATTTATGTGGGCAGAGATTCTTGAGTTCCTTCAAGCTAGGAAGCCTTGCCCTGCAAATATAGTTGCACATCTGTCTGGTTTCCTCAGCCATTATTTTTGAAATTCTAGCATAAGCCTTTATGCTTCTAAAATACAAGGAAAAACTTGGACAAAGAAAAGGAACATTGAATCATCTTTTATGTCACTGCTACCACATTTAAGAGGTAACATAATCCATTGGTCCATAAGGCTCAAACAATTCAGCAAAGACTCCCTTCTTTCTTTTATGGTTCCATCCCATGTCCTTGCACAACTGGTCATTGTACCACAGATGCAGGGCGCCGATGCATGATCTCCAATAGTATTGGCCAGAAGCGTATCGCTTTGCGTATTTGTCCCACTTTTCCACATCTTTCTCCATCTCTTTTATGCTTGGAAGCTTAAATGTGCCTGCAAGAAGCTCTGAAAGCCATCTGCATCTCATCTCAGAGGTGAACAAGTTGGAAATACTCTCGGAGAATCCAATTACAGCTAGTTGTGGAATTCTTCCATGTATGCATTCCCTGATTGAAATAAAATAATACCGAGCTACCATATTAAAATGCTGTAGCAAATAAAACTCCGAACTAAAATAATTTTGTACCGCATTTACTGATCTAGTATCTGACAGAATTAGACCTATGGAGAACAGAAGCTAACCTGTAGAGGGGCAATATGGTCTCCGGTGAACCGACTATGAGGTCCTGAAAAGTTGGGGACACAAAGATGTCTTTGAGCTTTTTCTCACCTCTGAATCCAGTAGCCATTATGACCAAATCTGTCTTCACAGGGGAGCTTTCACCTTCAACCAAAATGCCTTCTTGGCAAAAGCCGAAGGTGCTGCTGGGAGACTTTTTCAGTATGATGCTTCACCTCTTGGACCCGGTCAAATAACTTTTCCGGTACCGTTGCGATCATGCAAGAGCTGATCTCTCGAAGGAAACTATGCTTAGGTACCATACCATACTTGGCTAAACCAAGCTTCTTATTTACATGGCTTTCCACAAATTTCGAAAATGCCCATCTCTGCTCAATCATTAGAAAGTTAATTAGTTAATAAGCATCACAAACAAAAGGGTTATAAATTTATGATTGTCAAAATAAAGTTTACCAGAGGTGAAAGAATTGTTGCCAGGAGACTGAGTAGGAGGCCTTCACCAGGCTTATGAACCAAGAGCTCCAAGAAGCGACTAAAGTACAGGTATGCCAGGGGCAACCCCCATGGAAGATAGTCAGGAAGGTTCCAGTGTTCTGTCTTGTATATGACTGTGCATGGAAGTTCAACCCCTGCGCACCAGAAAATAAATTAAGAAGAAAATGTAACACAAACTTGTGAACAAAATGGTCAAACTATTTTCTGTGCTACTTCTTGTCCTCATGTCATGTGACATTCAAATTCTGTGTGATATTTAAATTACCATTTGCTTTTGAACACTCCATTGCAATGTCCATTGCAAACTTCTGAAACCCAACAACTGTTACTTGCTTTCCTTTCACCAAATTAGCCGCACTTACGTAGTCCATGTCGGCATAATTCATTGAGTGTATTACCTCTCCATGAAATGCTTCTGGTCCCTTGTTTGGATGGAAATCAGGAATGTTTGGAACATCGCTGAATCGCCCGAGGCAGAGGATCACAAAGTCCACCAGGTGAATCTGCTTGTTCATACTTGATAAGTAAGACTAAAGTCTAAAACATTGACAGTTATATAACATAACATAAATAACCTCGGAATCATGCTTGTCTTCTGCTACAACTTTCCATTTACCTTCGGAGCTGAAAGGCTCTCCGTTGCCACCCCAGAGACTCCAAGGTTGCATCTCATCCTCAGACGATGGCCCTTCATACTCAATCCCACACACTTTGGTGTTGAATTTGATATGCTTGAGCAAGTCAAAATGTTGAGCATATGATTTGATGTAATCCAAAACCTGATTTTGGGTTGGGAAGCCCTCTGTCACTGAAGATGGCCATGGAAAATCTGAGAATTGGTAATAATCTTTAGGGGATTGGATCCTGGTAGTCTCAACAGTTTTTGTCCATACTCCTCCAATGCTGCTTGAAGATTCAAAAACAATAGGCTGAAAGCCCTTTGAAAGTGTGTACTTGCAGGCAAGGAGGCCACTAATCCCAGCTCCTATAATTGCCACCTGCTTTCCCATTTTTGATCTAAGGGGGGTGTATTCAATTAGGATTTTAAAAGACTATTTTGGGATAAATAAGTCTTGTGGTATTCAATTAAGACTTTTAAATAATCTAAACAAGTCTTGTGGTATTCAATCAGGACTAATAGGATTTTTTAAAGAGGGTGTCCAAATCTAGTGGTATTCAATCAAGACTTTAAACAAGTAACAAAAAGTCTTTTGGTATTCAAAAACTTGCTAATTTCGAAGGATTTTTTTTAAATAGGGAATTAGTGTGACTTTTTAGTGGGAGGTATAAATACCAAACCCTATAAAAAAATCCCCCCCTAACCCATCAGACTTTTCACGTGAGATTTTTTTTTGTCTGCTAGAGAAGCCGAACAGCTCTTCGTGAAGATAAACAGCTCTTCAACAAGGTATTGCTTCCTTCTCGTGCTATGTCTTCTTGTGTTTATTGTCTGTATATTTGTTATATGCCTTTTTCGATTTATGGTCTGTGTCTATGGCACTTCGTGGGTTTGTTGATTGTTTATATGTGGCGTATGGAGTGGTTTATTGACTCTTCTTAACCATGCTGATATGTGGTTTGTTGATTCTGTGCCTATGGCCCTTCGAGAAAGAACAAGATTTGTTGGGAGGAATGCTATTGTTTATATGTGGTTTGTTGACTCTTCGTAACCATGCTGATTGTTTATATGTGGGTTTGAGATTGACTAGAGAGCTACTTCCATTAACCATGCTGATAGGAAGTGTACAAAAGCAAAATTATCTACCAACCAACAAAAAAAAATAAAATAAAAGAGTCCAGGTTTGGTGTCGTCTTGAAGCAAAATTATTATTGTTGTTGGGTTTTGAATTGTATGGAGAGAGATAGAGAGAACTGACTGGGTCTTGAAGCACGGGTTTTGCATTATTATTGTTGTTGGGTTTCATTAAGGAGATTTCCTTTTTCATTCAGCATTATTATTGTCGGTGGTAAATCAGTTTTCCAGTACTCCCTTTCTTTCTTGGTATCCAACTAATATTTACCAAAGTTAGAAAGAAAATAGAAAATAGAAAACATGAGTGAAATTCTTTTCTTTTCTTTTCTTGTTTGGTATGATATGTATTCTTGTGAAATAACTAATAAATTTCTTACATATGTTGTAGTAGTAATTTAATGGGGGATTCACAACAAGGAAATAACAAAGGAAAGGGCAAAGAGAAAGAGAACTATGAATCTTGGACCATGGACAATATCAATGAGTTGTTGCACCTCTTGGTGGATGCTATCAATAGTGGATTGCGTGATGCTAATGGGTCACTTAGCAAGCAAAATGTAGAAAGACTGATACTTCATCGTCTTAATGCGAAAATTAGGTTCCCAAAAACTTATAATAATTACTTGAGTCGAATGAAGTGGTTTAAGAAGCAATATAACAAGATGTCTACGCTTATGCGTAACAACTCTGGCTTTGGGTGGGACCCAATTGCAAAGACGTTCACTGCTAGTGATGAAGTATGGAAAGATTACTTGAAGGTGAGCTTAGTTCATAATCTTTTAAATGTATTGTATATATAATTAGGTAAATATTTTCTAGTGGATTGTGGATTTCCTAATCGGCGCCAATTTTTAGCTCTTTTTCGAGGTGTGCGATATCATCTCCAAGATTTTGCAGGTCATGGTAATGACCCTCAAAATGAAAATGAATTGTTCAATCTTCGCCATGCGTCATTGAGGAATGTGATTGAGAGGATATTTGGCATTTTTAAATCACGATTCACAATTTTTAAGTCAGCGCCTCCATTTCCATTTAAGACACAAGCAGAGCTTGTGCTACACAACATAACTTTCTTCGCAAAGAGTGTCATTCTTATGAATTTCCAATTGAACCAACAGACGAATCTTCATCTTCAGTATTACCAGTTAATGAAGAAGATAATTTGGAACCTATTGTTCAAACCCAAGAGCAGCAACGAGAAAATGCTAATGCATGGAGGGCTACCATAGCTTTAGATATGTGGAGAAATGCTACT